TTCCCAGTCCTGACCTCACTCACTGGGACTCTCTGACTGCTTTTACTCTCTGTCTGCTCTCTGCAACTCTCTCTCTTTCTTTCTCTCATCAAACCAAATAAACATTCAAATAGTCCTATTTTCCTCCTCATAATGTCACAGCTCATGTTTTCACTCAATAAAGATGTTTGTCTTCAAATCACAAATGTTTCTGAGGATATTATTGTCTCATGTGACGTCTTATTACATTTCAAACCTTCAAATATTAAAGTCATGATGTCAAATGAAATGAATCATTTAGTCAAACTTAAAGCAATCTTAAGGGCATAAAAACTGGATGAACTGTGATTTTCTTCTCCTACATTCAGACCAATTGAAGTTGTTGCTTTTGGCCCTGAATACCTTAGAAACACACCATCTAACCACAGAGCAACTCTACATGACAACGCCTTGGCCTCTAGTCCTACTGTGAGGAACCTTGGAGGTATTTTGACCAGAATGTGTCGTTTAACTCACACAAAAAGCAGGTTGGCCTTGTTTCACCTGCACAGCTTATTCAAAACAAGGAACATCTTTCTTGAAGTGATGCTGAAAAACTAGTTCATGCATTTGTTTCTTCTCGGTTGGACTATTGTCATTCATTTCATCAGTACGTTCCAATAACTGTCTGAAGAACTTCAAGCTGTTCCAAAGCGCTGCAGTCAGAGTTGTGGTAGGAACTGAAGCACAACAGATCACCTTTCTGTCAGATCACTTTCTCTTTCTTGGCTCCCTGTAAAATCCAGGATAGAGTTTAAAACCTTCGTCCTCAGATACAAAACTTTTAATGACCAGCTCCATCATTTCTTAAAGACCTTATTGCTTCCAAACAGAGCACTTTGCTTTCACTGCAGCTTTACTTGTGTTTCCGACAGTTTCATGAATGAGACTGACAGACGGAGAGTTCAGCTATCAGACTCCTCTGCTGTGGTTCCCTCATCCATCCAGTCAGAGCAGATGGCTTCCCTCCCTGGACCTGGTTCTGCCTCAGCTTTCTATGTTGTTTCTTTGTCTTTCTGGCTGAGGGGAGTTTTTCTTTGTTTTTTCTTCCAGGGCTACCAAGTTGCTCAAAGCCAACCAAATTTTTATTTTTCTGATTCACTTACTATATGAAGCTTCTAAAGATGACATGTGTTGTGCATTTGTGCTTCATAAATAACATTTCAATTTCAATCAAATTTTAAATTTGATAATGAAGGTTTTTGATTGTGACGTGTGTCCTCATATTTTCCTTTAAGGATGTAATTGAGAAAGTTGTGATGCAACATAAACCAGAGGTCAAAGGTTCTGACCATGTTTTATTATTTGATATAGTTTTGAGTCATTGAACTTGTTCTGGTGCATGTCAGTTAATAAGAGCAGCAACACTTAACTGTGTGTGTGTGTGTGTGTGTGTGTGTGTGTGTGTGTGTGTGTGTGTGTGTTCAGTGAACTGTATCAGTTCAGTTTCTGTTCAGTCTGACTGAGGGAGGTTTTTGTACGACGCTTTTTCACTGTGTGAACACATACTGACTGTTGATG